TACATTTTCTACCAAGCTGACCTGCAACCACTCTACAAACAAACTGGCTGTTGTGGCTAATATTGTCCTTTGTGCGCAGTGTACCAGCCTCGGGCCCTTGTCATTGTGGCCTTGCACATGGACTTTAACTGTGTGTTTCTTCCTCTAGGCAAACCCCGCTGATGTGTTTGACTCTCTTTCCCCATAGCAGTGGGCTACAGAGCCCAGCTCGGGAGCGGCCTCTCTGCATGAGACGCCTCCTCCTCGTATTGTGGTCTGCTTGCCTCAATGACTGTGGTTTTGTTTGTTTTCATGTTTGAATCCTTTTCCTTTCGTAATGCATTGTTTTCGTCCCCTGATGCATTGTGAAAGAATGTCTTTATGGTCACAGCTCTGACTTCATGAAACTTTCCTCATGCTCCTGAACTGGGAAGCTGAGACTTGTTATTAAGTGGTGTTTGCTGCCCTCATGTGGTCAGCGTTTAAACTGCAATTTAAACGAGTAAGAGCAACCAGTTTCACTCGTTTCCTATTATATCCTCAGTGAAATCATGTGTGAATTTAGCCAAGCAGGAATACAGACAGAATTTGTTTACATTTACATCTTATTTGCAAGGTCACTGAAATATTTCTGTCTTTCCCCCCACATTCACATCATATGAAGGTACTGAAATGCTGAATCCATATCTAAACAGTACGGAATTGAGTATCGCTCTTTCCATACTTTTGTGTTTTCATTGACTAAAATCAATGAAGGGATTGTATGTTATTTAAAAAGTATTTGACTGTATGTTCTGAAAAAAGAAGGTAAATTTGTTAATATTGAACATTTTCCTATATTATCTTTGTTTGTGCACCAGCTTCTGCAGAAATTTATTTACGCTCATGCCCAGTCGACAGGTATTTCAATATACAATAGCAGAAAAAGCACTTGTGAAAGTAATGCGCTTACAACTGGTTCACTCTGGTCATTGTAATAATGAGCCAGCCTGAAAATATCAAACAACATACCAAAGCTGTAACACTAGAACCCCTGAACAGGATGCAGTTAATAACAATCTAGTTACGCCTGTCAGTAAGGCTATGCCTGTTGATTATATTCATTCGTGTCTTAAATATGTCATATTTATCAGTTCTTTGTTAGATAAACAAAATACTAGAAGACTGAAGATGAATGTTAGATCCATAATTTGTTTGAGACACTGTTTTCATAGTTGTACACCACCACAGTGGATTTTAAATGGAAGAATATGTCACTGAAGCACAGGATTCCAGCTTTAATTCAAGACTTGTTTGTTTGCAAAGATTATATTAACTATTTAGGAATTTAAGAAATTGATTTTAGTGGCTCAGAAATAATTGGACAATAAACTGACAAGTAGTTTCATGGCTAGGCAAGGCCTGTCCCCTTGTTATTCCATGGTAAATCAAGCAGTTATAATATAAATATTGACTTTGTATTTCATAATTACCACTGTAATTTTAAATATGAGACCCAGAGAGATTCCAGTTCAAGTAAGGGAGGCCATAATTAGGCTGAAAAAGTATTAATAACTAAACAAACTTTAGCCATGGCCAAATAAAATAAAGCAGCTGACACATACCAAACAACCAGAAAGAATAAATTATTATTATTATTATTATTATTATTATAATTATTATTATTGACAACACTCAAGCCACGAGTTATCCTCCAGTCGGACTGACTGATAGGAACGAAAAATCTTTGTTTCCTACGGTATGTTTTAAGGAGTGAACATGCGTCCTTGCGCTTTTCAGATCTTTAGCAGGAAGGCTAAGACGCTAAAAAATAAATAAGTAAATGCTTTTGTCTTTGGGGCTTCAGACGTCTATATGGAGTACTGTTGATTTATGCTTTTACACAGCTCAGTTGTTAGTTTGTGTACATGTCACTGCTGTTGGCGTCTTTTGCGAAATTTGACGTTGTTGGTATATTTTCAATTTCATACATACAGGAAAGTGTCACGCATTAGTCATGTCACATGTAAAACAGTGTTCCAGTTATTTGTAATTTTGATTTTTTTTAGTTTTATTTTGCCACATGTATTGATTGACTGATCTAGTTTGAGTTCATTCATCTCTTCATTCTCTATTTTAATCTTTAGGTACAGTGAGACCACGTGATATCTGGCGGAAATCCCAAAAGTTGGGAACTGAAAATGCATTGGTGTGTCCTTTATGTCCAAAAGCTTTTTCATTGCCATGCACACTGAAGCAACATCATCTCATCCAATCAGACACCCCTTCATCTGTAAAGTCTGGAGAGGGCTTTTACACAGGCCCGACTGTGACAAGACTGTGGATTAGCAGTCATATATGGGGCCTCTTCCGGCTGTCCGAAAAATGTGCCTCATGCAAATGATTGCCAAGTGACTCAGGGAAACATTTCTAATGTTGTGGGTCGAGTACTGTGGGAGCAGGCTGATTGTCCAAATGTGGACATCTGCAAGCACTACCCATAATGACTGCTTATTATTTAATAACCTTTGGATTCACTTACACACTCATAACAGACCAAAACAGTTGGAAAGAGGCAGTAAGTCAACTCAGATCTTTCCTGCAATGGCAAATATGAGAATGCACTTGGGACTGCAAAATAACTTTGAAACACCAATGTCATAAATGTCTCAAACCTTCTGCTCACTAACCAAATTACAGACATTTTCTTATTTATACTTGAAAGAAACCCTTCTCCTGTGCAGTCTGCAGGAAAGCCTTTATAACTTATTATTAAGACTATAACTTAATAATAATTTATATCAACAAGAGCAGCAGTACATAAAACACGAAGGCTTGAAACGATTCTGGTGTGGGATCTGTAGAAGATCATTTCAGTTGGAAGTTAATTCGATACGCCATCACAAAATTCATAGGAGTCAAAAAGAATTAGAAAGTCTTCCCCCTGTGCAAAACAGCAATGCTGTGAAAATACCCGATTCAGAAACAATAAAACATTTAATTGAACCCAGTAATGCAGACTCAATTTCCCAGATTATGACTGTGAAACCAGAAGGGTGCAGTGAGTTTTGCAGCGATTACAATGGCTCTCTCCCTCAGGATGTTGCCTTAATCACATCAGGGGAAAGGAGCAGAGGGGAAAGGAGCAGAGGGAAACCTGCCGTGCTACCAGCAAGCAGTGAATTAACGCTCTACATCAGTGCTGAATTTGTAGAAAATGTTTTCCTTCTACATCCAAGCTTCAGATAATTCATACAGGACAAAGGCCCTTTGGCTGTGAGATATGTGGGAAGAGATTTCATCAGAAAAGCCACTTGAGGTTCCACTGCCACACTCATATGTGGTCTAAATACCACACATGGCAATTGCGTGATATCAACCGACCACACTGGCGAGTTAACGAGTTTAAATACAAAGCTGGGGGCAGATTTCCCAGCTCACAGAACACTGTTGCGATACATTTAAAGCCTAAAGACAGAGAATGACACAAATGTTACCACAGATGTGTAATATTAATAGGGTGAACCTGTGAGAAAGGTTTCCAAAGTGACTGTGAAAAAGAAATAAAGTCCTAAATCAACACAAAACCCAGGTGGTGTACAGCACAACTGCTTCCACTGTTTTAAGTGTTTTCCGAGTGCCTCTAAATTACAAAGGCATGAGATAGTGCACGCAGGCAGGAAGCCATTTCATTGTCCTATATGTGGAAAAGCATTCAGACAAGCTTCTCATCTGAATACCCACAAAAGAACTCACTGAAAGGGAACTCAACCAAGCCACTCAACCAGCAGGAGAACATCAGAAAACTGAAAGTGACACATGAAAAGCAGAAAAAGTCTGCAAACACCCATGATACACTATCAGATTTTGAAGTTCTCCGTCATGGAATGAAGTACCCTGCAGCACACGTGCAAAATCCATCATTAAAGTAAGTAGCCTTGTTAAGACTAACTCAGAAGGTGTTGTGTCATGTAAAAAAAAAGAGAAGCTTCAATTATGCAGAATATGCTCTACAAACTTGGTCACTCATTGTGGGATTAGGTCATACAGATGTGTTTTATGTAGCAAAATATTCCCACAGAAGGGTAACCTGATACCTCATGAGCAAACATGTAGGCACTGCAACGAAATTCCAAACGGTATTCAAAGTGAAATGAAAAATGCCAGCCTACTTCCAGATAAGTATATTCAAACATGTATTCATTGTACAGATTTGGATGCCAAATCAAACCAAAGTCACTGTATGCTAGTGCTTGTTACCAGTCATTTGCTAATAAAGAGGTAGTTCAGGGCTTGGAGGCCGCGGATGCTGATTGGCTGGCAGATCCAGAGGTAGCCTTGAACGGAGGGTAACGAATCGGGAAAAAAGCAAATCAAAAAATTTTTAGCAATTTATTTCCCACTGAACTAGTTGTTGAAGTAGAGAATCAAAAATGCCAGCTCGAGTGTTAAGCATGAGAATAATGACTAAAGGAGTTAGAACTGTTTCAGGTAGCGACAAGCTGCTTAGTGATGAATTGGTAAGTTCAGTGGCTGAGAATCAGATCCAACAAGAAAATGATTTGTGTGCACTACTCAGTGTTTCTGAATGAGACAGGTGCACTGCGAGTTATCTAAATGAAAAGGATCTTAAGCGGCACATTTGTTCAAATAATATTCAAATGACAGACCATCATTGTGGCATTTGCTTCAAAACGTTTGTGTCTCTTTCTAAATTCGCAAAGCATTATGCTGTCCACACAGGACAGAGGCCACTTAGGTGTGGCATTTGTGGTCTTCCTGTCCCCCTCCTGCTTGGCAGCACTTTATTCAACATCCTTTGATAAAAATATCTTCTTTGCGCATGCACTTTCACTTGAAAATAGTCTATTTTGTTACGTGTTCCATCACTTTTTTTTTATCCAATTATTTTTTCTTGCGTTGTCGCCAAAATAAAAAGCTGATTTAATTTTCCCAGCAGTTTCCACACGCAACAAATACGAAACCGGGGGGAACGGAACGGATTGCAAGCTTTCGTAATTAGGGGACGGTTTGAGGGACGTACCTTTTCAGGAAGTTAGTCGCACGCAGCGCGTTTGATGGTGGAGGTACATAACCAGCAGTCCGACGGCAGTTACATTCATGCTGAAATAATAATAATAATAAAAAAGGTTAGTGAGCTAAATTCTGGCAACTTTATACCACTGAACTGGAGTTAATACTGAACGATTAACGATTCAGTTGTGTCTAAATGCTACTAATTAGCTATATCACCTCATTGAGAATGCTAACAGTTACTAATGTCATGTTACTACTTTCTGAACTCGTAACTCTTAATTTGATGTTAATTAAAGTACAGGAAAGTCAGTTAGTTCGTGCTTATGAAACCTCCTAGTTTACTTTTTAACCGAGATTGTGAACTTTCTCAACAATAAATTACCCTGTATTCGTCCAGCTATCGTATATTTACAAAGCCTCAAGTTGAAAACAGATACTTGTATCAGTCGATACTTTAAAACAAATGATTTCTGCACTTTTTCTTCTTCTTCTCACAGTCGTCATTTTATTATGGCCACCATGGAGAAAGAAACCCCTGCTAAAAAGGCTGCTACTCCGTCTGTATCCCAGATAAATGCGGAATATGTCACGCAGGTAATCACAGCATTTATTTTCTGCATATGTGGTTCAGTACTGTGTTGTGAAATTTTTCCATGATGCTGGTATGCTGAAGATAAAAAAAAGTGTCCTGATTTTCTTTTGTTGCATTCTTTGTCATGCTAAAAACATAAGGACAGCTTTGCATGGGCTAAGGAGATAGGATAGGACAAATGGCTGTAACTATGGCATATGTTCAATTAACAATTTGTTGCATCTTCCATGTTTATATTTAATATTATGTGTGATTTTTACATTTCCCCTTTTCAGTTGTCTAACAAATATTGGGCGCCTCATGCAAAGAATAAACTACCTTTTGACCCTAAGGTGAGTTATTTGCACTTTTGCAATTTAGAGGTGTTGGTACAACTTTTATTAGTGATAACCAATCACCAGGGCTTTTGGCAAACAGTGTAACATTCAGTGATGAAAATTACCACAGTTTGTGCTCCATTATAATGCAGTGCTTATAATTTGGATCAAGTTCAAACAAAAATAAAGGTTGATATTTGAATTGCTTATTGGCCTAATTGTTATTTTAATCCTTGGTATCAGCCCAGAGTGGGAGCACTGTAAAGATTTGGTCATGTATCTAATAGAGATTGATTTATCATTTATCATATAGTTTCAGATAGTAAGTCAAGTCAGCAAACTACCAAGCACATGTTTGTTAACACTAAATTTCTGTGCTTTTATAATGCTTTGAATGTTCTTTGTGGGGGGGTTAGGTGATGGAAGATGTTTACGAGAAGGAGATTCTCAACTCCAAGTAAGTGAATTTTGAACTTTCTTCCCCTATGAAACACTTTAAAAAAATATAAAGGACATATTTCACCGTTCATTGTTTTTGAGTTATGCCCATTATATTTTCAGATTTGCCATTAGGAAAATTATGCTGCTTGAATTCAGGTAAGTTATTTTTACTGGATTTTCTTTATGTTATCATTTAAACAATCACTGCAAAAACAGTGATTTGACAACACTACTTGCTGCATGGATATTAATTTATTATTTCTAATATTTCAGCCAATACCTTGAAAACTACCTGTGGGTGAACTACACTCCAGAGGTTTCCAGCAATGCCTACATCATGTCCATTTGTTGCATTGTCAATGAGAAGTTCAGAGAAAATGTTCCAGCCTGGGAGGTAAAAATTTTTTTTTTTAAAAAAGCAGTAATTTGTTGAAGTTTAGCTTAATTATCATTAAATGTTGTCTATATTTGATTGTGTTTGCCACAGCTAATGCAGGAGCTCAGCTTTTTACATTTTCTATTGTTTGCTGTGTTTCAGGTGTTCAAGAAGGAACCAAGTCATTTTCCATTTTTCTTCAAATGTGTGATGGAAGCCGTTCTGGCAGATGAGCAGGCTGGTCTTACTCTGAAGGAACAAACTGTGCTTCTGGTCTTTATGGACCACTGTTTCAACAGTCTGGTGTGTACCACTACACTGATATCTTATAAGTAAACATTCAGAGAAGTTAGAGTTATTCTACTACCACAGTGATGTCTGTTTTTGTGTCTGTGTTATTGTGAGTCGTCGGTTTATATTTTAAAGACAGTATTTATATATTATAAAATGACATGACTTGTCTTTTTAAGCCAGGTTAGTGTCTTAAAATGTAAAGCCAATTACATGACGATTTAAATAATACAAATTAAGACACTTTCTTACACCATAATGGAAGGTAAAGGTAAAAAAAATGTTTGTATATTTCTTGGGAAATGGCTCTACACAACAATTTAATAAGGACTTTCTTTACGTCCTAATAGTTTTTAAAAGGTTTTTATAGAGCCCAGGTGACTAGCTCTCTGACTTTTACCATGATCATCATAGAATTATGATCACTGACAGGTCAGGTAAACATCACTGATTATCTCTTCATCATGGCACCAGTTAGTGAGAGTGATACGTTAGTGAGCAAGTGAACATTTTGTCCTTATAGTTGATGTGTTAGAAGCAGGAAAATTGGGCAAGCATAAGGATTTGAGCAAGTTTGACAAGGGCCAAATTGTGCTGGCTAGACAACTCTGGCAGAGCATCTCCAAAACTGCAGCTCTTGTGGGATGTTCTCAGTCTGCAGTCGTCAGTATCTATTAAAAGTGGTCCGAGGAAGGAACGATGGTGAGCCAGTGACAGGGTCATGAGCAGCCAGGGTTCACTGATGCACGTGGGGAGTGAAGGCACCGTGTGGTCTGATCCAACAGTCGAGCTACTGTAGCTGGTTCTGATAGAAACGTGTGAGAATACACAGTCCATTGTAGTTTGTTGTGTTTGGGCTCATCAACTGGACAACGGAGCAATGGAATAAGGTGGCCTGGTCTCATGAATCACATTTTCTTTTACATTACATGCATGGCTGGGTGCGTTGCTTACCTGAGGAACACTGGGTACCAGGATGCACTATGGGAAGAAAGCAAGCCAGCAAAGGAATTGTGATGCTTTGGGCGATGCTCTGTTGGAAAACCTTGGGCTCTGCTATCTGTGTAGATGCTTCTGTTCCAGACCATTTAGGTCCATTCATAAAAACTATGTTCTCTGATGCGTGTGGCCTCTTTCAGCAGGATAATGTGCTCTGTCACAAAGCAAAAGTGGTTTAAGAATGGTTTGAGGTGTTGGCTTGGCCTCCATATTCCCTAGATCTCAGTCCAGTTGAGAATCTTTAAGACATGCTGGACAAACATGTCCAATCCATGGAGGCCCCACCTCATACCCACAGGACCTAAAGAGTCTGTTACCAACATCTTGGTCCAAAATACCACAGCACACCTTCAGGGGTTTAGTGGAGTCCATGCCTCGACAGGTCAGGTCTGTTTTGGCAGCAAAAGGGTTACCAGCACAATATTAGGCAGGTGGTCATGATGTTATGCCTGATGTACTGGTACTGGCAAGATAAATAAGAATTAATGCAATTATCTTTACTGTCCACTAGATGGCAATAATAGACAGGACAGGTCAATTTGGGTGATCTCCATCTGTATCCTCTGCAGTTGCATTAAACCACAGGCAAGCACTGCGGATGTTTCACTTAAAATGTGCTGTGATAGCCTGCTGCCCTTTAATTGTATCCTATAAAGGCCTCTAAATATTTTAGTTGGAGACTCCTATTAGGGATTGAAGTATAATATATTTTATTTTATTTGTGCATTATAAGTATAATGCACAAAGCATTTTGACAACCCCGACCTCTCACACTTAATCTTCCCTCATTTTTTTTTCTTTCTCTCTCTCTGCACTTTCCTCCCAGGAGGTAGATTTGATCAGAGAGCAGGTGCAGCAGCTCATCTCTCTGCCAATGTGGATGTGCCTCTTACCAGTAAGATGTCAAACTATTATCTTAATTAAGAAGCTGTGGTGTTTATTGGCACACCAAGTAATGTTTGATAATTCTAAAGGAATGAATTGCTTCCTTGCTATGAGACTAATCCCTCTTTCCACTCATTTGTTACTCATTTGTTTCTGTGATTTTACAGTCCAGACTCCAGCACGAGCTGAGGAAAGTTCCAAAGCTGCAGAAGTTCTGGAATCTAATCAAAAAGAAATCTGATAAAATGGATGCTGACACAGCTGAGCAGTAATGATATTTGTGTTCAAAGAAATCTATACAGATTTAGAGAATCTGTTTCTAGGTTGTTCTGATTTACTTTCTTCGTGTTTCCTCAGGGCAAAGAAGGAGAGGACCTTCCTCTCGGCTCTTATTAAAAAGTTTCACGGAGTTCTTGCGTCAATTCCACCAACAGGTAAAAAAATGCTTGCATATCTCTTGGGAAATAGCTCTACACAACAATTTAATAAGGACTTTCTTTACATCCTAATAGTTTTTAAAAGGTTTTTATAGAGTCTAGGTGACTATCTCTTGGACTTTCACCGTAAATAATTGGTCAGATCCATAAATCTCAAAAACATAAATGTGTTTAAGCATTTTCTTTGTAAAATTAACAGATAGATCTGTGTGCATGGCCCTTTTTTATAAATCTTAGTCATAGTAAGATTGTACTCACATGCACAAGCTTTATTTCCACTCTGGTATTTAGCCATAAATATACACTCCTTTACTTAATCATTTGCATAATTAAATGCTGTTTGCACCTCGAGGTATTAGACACAGCAGTGAATTCCACAGCAAACAGAAGTGCTGTTTCACTGTAGTTGTAACTAAGAGACGGAGATGTTGGAGAAAAAGGAATGTGTTCTGTTTATCGAATCATGGTTTAAAGTAAAACTGCTGAACTGAGAAATGTAAGCCAGATGAAAAAGTGGACTTGATTTGCTATACAAATATGAAAAACGTGAAAAAATTACATTTCTTTATAAATACGAGACAGCCCATGGTACGATATTGTCACAATTCATTACTCATGATATTTTTGTTATTTTTGTTGCAAAATGAAATTGTCAAGCATGCCGACACTGTCACTAAAACCTTCCATAAATGTTGCCAAAGTTGGAGTCGGTCTGCAGTTGAATGGGGGTCAAGTTGTCAGTTACATGCAGTAACTTGTCAGTTACTGCAATAAACTGGAAAATCACAAATCGCATATCTGTTGCTTTTTGCATCTACATAAATTCCCATTTAACTGTTACTTTTGTGCTTACGAAACCTTTTGCTCTATTAGCAGCATAACCAGAATACAACCAGCTTGCAGCCAGTTGAGCTGAGTTCCCTTGAGTTGTGCTCACTGACAAAAACTCATTCAGACCGGCAGTATCAAGCTGATTTGTCTACATTTATCAACTAAATAGCAATTATTTGCAAACCTTTGACAGTCTAGGACGTGACCAGTGTTGGATGGTTTTTCAGTTGAGCTGATTTAATTAAGTTTGCTAAGCTAACTCAAGATGGTGGTGCATGAGATGAGCCCTTTTGTTTGTAGCACTCACAGAGTGTTTTAATTCATTTGATAAAATATTGAAAATTTTGTGTTAATACAATGTTGCCACAAAGAAAATGCGATTCTATGCTGTATCGGTGTGTGTGTGAAAAGCAGAAATGGCTAATTTGACACAACGTAATGCATTATGTTTTCCAGCTATCCTTTCTTCTCTCTTACCTTGATGCAGTTTTTCAGAAGAACAGATGAGATTTTAGTGCTTAAAGGTCAAGGTCATCATGACCTCCAATGCATGAATATGCTGACTATAATGAAATTCCACACAAAAGTCTAATAAGATAAAATGGTCAACTAATGCTTTTTTTATACCCAAAAAGGTCAAAGGTCACTATGACACCGTAATGTTCTGCACAAACACCCTTCTAGTTTTTGCCGAATGCCATATCTCAGAAGCAGGAGTGAAATTTGTGAGAATATTTAACATTTGATTAGATACTGGATTGTCTTCATATAATCTCTGTGTGTTATATGAGTCTGGATAGAAATGGATGTAAACTGTTGCCAGTTGCAGCACGCCTATTCTTTCTTTTCGAGTCGTGCAGCTGCCCAAGGAGGATGTGCTCCAGCTGCCACACAGCCAACGGCGCTCACCGCTATGTTGTAATGCAGGCCGACACACAGGCCCCCCACCTGAATGCTAAAAACAGAATGTGTGTATTCGTGTGTTTAGATAGAATCAAACCTGACAGATTAGATCAGAATCTAAAACCCAGTAGGATCCACATCACTCCAATACTTACTGCATGGCCCAACTTCTAAGTGTACACACACACACTTACACACCAGCATGCCTAATGAGAGCTTGGGACCCAACATGCTGCTGTGCGAGCCGTGCAGCATCTCGTAGTGAGGCTCACACACTCAGCATGGCACTTTGGCGTTGTCCATATGCGTTTGCTGTCCTCGTGTCCTTGTTGAAAACTACACATCGCCCTCTACAAAGCAACATCTAATATTTCCTGTCTTTTTTGGGTTTGTCTATTCATCATATTTTATCTTTTGCTGTGAATGTGGATTTCCTGAGCCAAAGTTATAATCTGAATTATGCCCTCTTATTTTCCACAGGGCCTGTATCCATGGACCAAGTGCATTACTGCGAGAGATTCATAGAACTCATGATTGATTTGGAGGTAAAGCACAACCTTCTTAATCATACATTTCTCAGCCATGTTCATTTTTTATTTATGTTGAGAGATAATGCATTCATTGTTAGACTTGTTTCTATGGGACTTTCAGTACAAGGGTAGTTCTACGGTATTTTTGTAATCATGATATCCTGATGAAGGAAGCAGTCTAGACTTCATTTTCTGCAGATCTCATTAGTTTGTCTTTTGTCCTTCACATTTATAGCTAACTCATGTCATTAACAGTCACTGGATAAATGATCTGCATCAGCTTTGCTCTCTGTGCTTCTCTCTTTCCTGTCTGCAAAGCTATGCACTATTTGAAGCTGTAGTCTGATCATAGTATGAGAGGTTATTTTCAGCGTGATGGCTTTTGACATGTGCTACAAACTGTAAACTATAACAAAGCCCAATGACATAATGTTTGGGGACATCCAATTCCCTTTTTAGAAAAATGATGTTTGAAGGAACGATTTATTTAAAATATCCTTGTTTTGTTTTGGGGGGATATTTTTGGTTTGTTGGTCTCTTTAAATTTATAGCAGATTGCAGATTTTTAATTTATTTTCCAATGTCTGTTTTCTGTTCTTAATTTAACTCCCGTGTGCGTGACTGTTGCCTGGAAACTTGAGGCAAAGGTCTTGTAGGTGAAAGATAGTTATTTAAAAGTGTCAGTTTCTTTCGGCTGTGAGCTGCAGCGTTATTAGATGTGAGATCTGCAAAAAAAAAAAATGTATTCCACCAAATCTCAATGAAAATCATGGTGTGCTATTTGCAGCTGTTGGGTTTTTTTTTTTCTTCATATTTTGAGGTGGGGGAAGCTTCTCCGAGAGAAAAAAATAGAAACTAAGAAAACTTGATTTAGTTGCCGTAGATGCCATGCAATAGAGTGTATTCAACTGTGGAAATCACGATGCGTTTTTGTCACAGAGTCAGGTTTTCTTTTTTTGTTTTTTTTAAGGTGATGAAATAGTTTTTAAATATAAGAAATATTTTTGACGTATCCATTTTTTTAAAGAAATAATGAAGTGACGCAGAACTTCACATAATTATTTAATTCCTGACTAATGAAGGTGGTGTTAACACACAGTGTCACGTAAGATTTTTACGCCTCCTGCCTGGACAGACCTGCTGTTACTAGTGAGTGAGCACAATGGATGTCATTTGGCCCTCTGCTGACAGGCTGGCCTTGCCTTTTCTGGCAGTGGCTACTAGCTGGCCAGTTGACTGTCCCCAGACTCATCTCCTGTCCTTCAGCACTATCATTGTACAAAGACTCAGTTGCCTGAAATCCATACTTCTACTCTTTGATGACAACATGAAAATGATTGCAGAGAAAAATACACCTATTATCAAGCCAGTTCTGTGTTGGCTGTCAGAACCGTGTTGAGATCAGAGATTGCTGTTGCATATAAAGGGTATTTGTTCTTTCTCTCTTTAGGTCTTACTCTTACTCCCACACATGCTGCCTTGAACATCACTTTTCCATGATTGATATAGACATTTTGTTTGTGTTTTGCCTCACAATTTTGTATTTCACATTTGGTTTCACAATAATGTTCATTTTTCCCCTTTGCAGCACTCTTTATAGTGTGAATCTGTATGCTCTAGTCACGCTCTCACTCAAAAGTGTTCTTTGTTATATTCTCACCAAAGCAGGTCTGTTATCTCATTTTGACAGGTCTCCTCTGTTCTTGCCTTTATGTCATGTTCCTGTGCTGCAAGCATCAACCACATAAATAATGAATATAGACGAGAGTTAGACAGTTTTTGCCATGTTGTCTTCACATCTTTCTGTCAGAAAGCGAAAAATAAGACAAACTGTCTTATTTTGAAAAATAACCTCAAGACGAAAAAACAGCAATCAATAAGTTGCCTTGATAATCATGATGCTGAGAAATATGGTTGTTCACAAACCAGTAAATTTTCGTTTAGTGTAGTTTAGTTTGTTATCGTTTGGAGGGGTGGACTTATTTCCACAAACATGGTTTCATGTGTGTATAGGCACTGCTGCCCACCAGGCGTTGGTTCAATACAGTGCTGGATGACTCTCATTTGGTGGTCAGATGTCACCTCTCCAGCCTCACAAAAAGAGAGAAGGAGGGGCATCTCTTCTGTCAGGTACAAAAATAAGCAAATATGCATTAAAACTTGTCAATGACAATATTCATGTTCACAAAGAATTAATTGTTATTTCCTCATCTTTCTAGTTGCTGGATATGCTGAAGTTCTACACTGGTTTTGAAATCAATGATCAGACAGGAAATGCACTGACTCAGAAAGAGATGACCACTTTGCACTATGACAGAATCACCTCACTGCAGGTAAGAATGATATAAAATGATTTTCAGATATATGATTTCATTTGCATAAACTATATGGATAAAAGTACTGGGCCAGCTACACCGCAGGAGCTGTAGGTGTAATGCTTTGAAGCTTCCAGCACACAGTGCTGATGTTAATACCAGTGGTGGTTTAGAGCTGTTGAGTTATTGAGTCTATTGCCGTACTTTTATGCACCTCAGCACTCTGGAACCCCGCTCTGTAACTTTATGTGGACTGCTGCTTCATGGCTAAGTTACGGTGTTTCCTAAATGCGTCCCGATTGCAGTAATACTACTTACAGTTGAATATCGAATATCAAAGAGGGAAAAAACTTGTTGCAGGAGTAATATAGTACTACATACAAATGGATGCACGGTTAGGTGCTTGAATTATACACCTGTGGTAATGGGACTGAAAAAAACAGAATTCCATGTAATGTAATGGGATAGTTTGATTTTCCAGCATGCCTCATAAGCATCTTTAGTTTTATATATCAAAGTAACTGTTGCAGAGAGAAATGTATGTACCAGAGTATCAGATCATTTTTTTCATAGTTGTAATAAGAAATTAAGTCTTTCCTCATCTTATGCTGAATGTGAATATAATGACTGAATAAATAAGAATGAATGTAAAGTATTCAGGACTGTTGATTTTTCTATATATATCTTTATGAATCACATTTTCAGTAACTATCTCAAGAAACTATTTCACGGAAAAAACAGTTATGTATTATAATGGTGATGTGTATCTAGATATCAGTCTCTCATAACACTGCTTATTGGGTTCTGTCTTGCAGAGGGCAGCCTTTGCTCATTTCCCAGAGTTGCACGAGTTTGCTTTATCCAGTGTCGCATCAGTAGACACCCGAGAATCCTTGACCAAACACTTTGGGCATCTCAGGTAATTAAAATCATTTAAAACCAGTAGCATGTTATAAAGGATGTGATGGGAGGATATGCATCATAACTGCTAAATTAGCTATCAACGGAACATCGCTTTAGCTGGCATGATTGCTAATGTGTAAATATTTTGCATGTTTATTAGAGGCTTTCTGTGTTCATCATTCTGGCTTATCTTCAAGTACCTTTTGACCTCGAAAGCTCAAATTCTCAAATTCTCAGCGTATAGGTCCAAAATAATCAGCTCCTAGTGTATTGCTACCATGTTCAGAGGTTCTCCTGAACACCATACAAGTACAAGTTACAATTGAAACAAAGAAGGATATAATAATGTAATAATAATGAGCAATATAGTAGGATTTTTGCTTACACAACAATCCCACCAGCTGAGGCCCATGTCCATGATTATCTTGCTCCTGTGTTGTAATATAGCAGCTCCACCATTGCTGTCTGACTTCCTGCTAAATGGCAGCTAGTGAACCCTTGAACAGGCAGCTGGTACCAGCCGGAGAGAGAGGCACGCCTCATTAATCTAATCGATTTGCAGTGGCTTGAGAATAAACTCTTGGAACAGCTGTGTTTGTCAGATCATATTAGCTTGCCAAGGAGCCAAAAAGCGCCCTCACTTTGATGAACTGGCCTGTGTGTGTGTGTTTTCACTTGTTCACATGTATATGAGAGTGAAAAGAAACTGATTCATTAGTAATTTTTAATTACTTCAAGATTTTATCTTTCTTGAAGTTGACATTTCAAAATTACTGACCAAAACTTTTTTTAAGGTCTTTGTGTTTGGCTCGGCTTTATTCTATTTCACCAAGTGATTACTATTTTGTTTTTACTGTATGGAAGTTCTTTATTTGTGATAGTTGTTTAAACAACTCAAAATTAGTCTTAGCTGGCAATGTCTCCATATACATATTTCTTTCCACTTCAGTGGTGGATTATAAAAGCTTAAACCTCACATTAAATTTCTTTGAATCAGGCAAAGGGATATGAGCCGAGCTGAGCTGAATCAGGTAAAGACTTAGCTGAACCATTTTGTGCATTTCTAGGAGCAGGAGCTCTGCTCCATTTTCCCATAGAATTAAGGTTTTGAATATAGCAGGACGGCATTGTTCACTGCTCCACAACTGTCACCAAAGCAGCTCCTGGGTTACTCCAAATATACGATCAGATTTAACGAGGCACTTTTCATCCAAACAACTCCTGCTAATGCCAGTTTATTCCAGCTGTACTACCCATGTGCTAAGCTCCCAGTCCCCTGCCGCTCTGAATTTATCTACTAAGTCCCCAAAACACACAAAAGCTAGCTAGCCCACACTTATACACACCCATACTATTAGATATATACGCAAACACAAATAAACACTTTTTTCAGGTATATGACAATAGGTGAAGTGCCATTTGTGGCCATAAATGAATTGAATTATATTGAATTCAAACAGAAAAGAATCCTAATTGTGACAAATGTTAACCTTCACTGCAGAGCATATTAAAATAAGGAGTGTGATTGGTGCTCTGGATTATAGTCACTGTGGAGATGTTTGTACAGATGTTTAGATCCTTTTTATCCGTTTTTGTTTTGTTTTTTTGCCTCTGGGTCAGCTATGACCAGTTGCATTGTGGTTTTAAGTAGTTCAACCATCAGTACCACCTATCCCTGTGAATGTAATATCTCCACAAAATGATGGAAATTCTTGAAATGAGTTGTTATTGGTCAAAAGTCAAGGTCACGCAACACATTTTTGGCAGTGACATGAGAATTCTTAGGTTTGATTGGGCCATCTGCATTTCTTATAGTGAGTTGTTGTGCTGCGTTTATTTTGTTGCTAAGGGAAGGAATGTCCACATGATCCATGGCAGGACATCCAGTGGGCCACCAAACTGCATCATTGGCAGAATTGCCACCCCACTGCTCGAGCGTGGCATCACAAGTAGCAAAATGCATGCACATACACGGCTACAGTTGGTCAGTCCACGTGTGGCTGCCCAGGCCTGTCAAAGTGTGTCCAGACCTTGTCCCTTGTTGGGCACCAGGCCCTGTCTGTGTCACAGTGTGTCAGCCTGATTAAAATAGGTTGTATGCAGAGAGCCACACCTCAGCCTTCCGAAGCGGAGATGGGCTTTGATTTTCATAATCCTGTCTCATCAGTGCAGCTCGACCCCTCAACATACATGCTGACAGAGCAGTGTCAAAGCAAACAGAAGCACTTTGTGCCACAGTGCTAATAAGCACTAATAAGACTTTGACGAGGCTCCTATTCTAGCACGTTTACATTTAGTGGATTGAAAACCATCCATGACTGCCAAAAAATAAATAAATACTAATTTGGAATTGTCAGACCACAGGACAGTTTTCCACTTCACCTCATTTTGAAAAAGTCTGTTGTACTGTAACAAAAGGTGGCAGCATTTCTTTGTCTTGTTTATATTAGATTTTTCTCTGCATCATAGACTTTGCAGTTGCTGCACATTTACTCATGCAGTTAATGACACTGACAATTGTTGTAGGAGCATACCCAAGCACATGGAGGGATTCCACTGCAGAATGGTGTCTTATTTTAAGTAATGCAAGATCATGGCATTTCAGTATTGTGCAAGGTAGATTATAAAACCATTAATGTCTTTGCAGCTGTATATTAATAAACACAATTAATTGTTGAGGATTTTCCCCAACACTATTGCACCTCTCCCCATCTTCTGAAATATTATCTTTGTACTTCTTTGAATAAAACAGGGATTTGTGTAGATTGTATATAGATGAAGAATATAGATGTTGGACAAATAATAGTAAGAATGTATTCTTAATTGAGAAATCCTATGGTTGGTATTCTTATAATCTTTATCACTCGAGTCTTTACCAAACATTAGACAGGATTTAGTTAATATTTACTTATTGTCATACCTGCTCTAGACAGAAGTGTTGCTTCTTTTTCTGTTTTTTCTTTCTCTGTAGTCCCAATATGCTCCACAAGGTGGCCTCGTATTTGTGTCTGCTGCCTGAACTGCCTGAAGGGCAAGACACCACTATTGAGAAAGAGGTTCTGCTTGAGTTGCTGGTAAGTGCACTGTTGGGTTTACTGGGTTATGTATGTGAACATATCAGTGTTTTTTTTTTTTTTTTTTCATTTTGTTTGTTTTAATGACATGTTTCTTGAAATTTAAAAAATAAAATATTAAAATATTTATTCCAGGATTTGTAGGCAATGGTTAATGCCTGAGACTTTAAATGAACCCTTTAAATAAACCTATACATCAGGCATTGGTTACATGGCAACTGAGAATATAAAAGATGAATCACTGGTGTTTATAAACAGTTAGTTTACAAAACTTTCACTGGTCATTTGGCAATACCGCATACTAGGATTGGATTTTACATTTTAAAATAA